TAGAAAACTTTATTCATTAAGTAAATTAATAAAGTGAAAAATTATCAACTTTTCCAAGTTGTTTACGATCAACTTGTATGAGTTATGAGTACTAAAAATAGTAATTATAGAAAAATTTTTTGAGAAAATTTAAAGATTTATTACTCTATAAAATTATTTTCCTTTAAAATAAAAAAAAAAAAATTATTTAACTGAAGTGCTGTTTAGATGTCTGCGAGAAGAAAATGATTCATGCTAAAAGTTTGATCATTTTGTTTAAAAATGTATCAAAATATATGAAAAAAAGTAATTCAGATTAAATATTAAATCATTTTTTTAAAAAAATATATCAAAAGTTTTGTATTAAAGCTCATTTTCCCCCCTTTCTTAAACACCTNTAAAACATTATAAAATTATTAATATATATTTTATTTATTTTATTTTTTTTTGCCTGAATTTAAGTGTTTATAATAACTTTCATCAAATATATTTTTTAAATATTTAATTTAGTTATTTTAATGATATTTAACTGTTTTTTTTTTCTTTTGTTCCACATACTTTGCATCAGTCAAATTTTCTTTTCATAGAGTTGCGAAAGATGCGAAAAGAATTAATAATTGTAAAATTGTTTGTTCTTGGTAACAGGAACGGAACAAGGGTTCTTCTATATTAATTATGTTAAGTTGATTTTATTAAGCATAATAAATTTATTCTTAAAGTCAAGGTTATCTCCAATGGAGTTTCAATATAAAACTTCGCATTTTCCAGCTTGTTGAAACAAAGTATAATATCTAATAGGTTGCATGAATAGATTTATTATATTTTAATGTAAAATAATGTAAGTAAAAATTCGAAATTAAATGAGAAAATTAAGCTTTTTTTAATTAAAAAATACGTTTGAATTTTTAGTATGTAAAAAAAAAGTTTACTTTTTTAAGTAATTTCGATGATGATACGTATGTAAAATGAGTTAATCATAGAATATTTTAGATAAATACTTATGATTAGACTTGGTTTATTAAAAAATTCTTGACTTGAATAGAGTTGCAATAGTATTTTTTTATCGGCATCGAGCTCTACTGTACAGTACAGTACATAATTACTTGATTAACTTGAAGTTGCAAGTACATTAGTGCTTCACTGGCTTGAAACTAGAAGTACACTAAATTTTATTGGCAACAAACTAGCGCTGCATTAACCTTTGAATGATATAAAATTGGAAGTACAGTATATTTAATACTCCACTGACAGCAGCATGTATATTAATATTTGGCTGAATGAAGCTGGAAGTACTATATAGTACATTAGTACTTTTCTGGTATAAAGCTTCACAAAAATCCTTATACAGTTGATCCCCCCTATAACACTGTCGATAATTCCGTGTTATATGAATTCCATGTTGTACAAGTCACTTAGATTTTACAAATACGTGAGCCGTTCACAGCCCAGCACACGTATTTGTAAAATCTAAGTGACTCGTACAACATGGAATTCATATAACACGGAATTATCGAGTGTTATAGGGGGAAGGTCAATTGTAATTTCCAGTGTATAAGAATTTTATCAAAAAATTAATTAAACTAAATTAAATGAGGTTTATTTTTCTTAAATTTAATAATTTTATATTTATTATATTATATTATATTATATTATGGAGTTATATATTAACTCTATAGAGTTGAATTTCAAAGAAAACAAAATTATGTGATTTTATTTCAGAATTCAGTGTACAGTACTGATTATTGCTAGTATTTATCAATAAGGAATTTTATAATTAAAAATATTAAAAGAGTATATTCAGATTGTCTTTCAGGAAATGTTACATATACATACCACTTTATCTTACATATTAGTTGTACAGTCATTTTTGATNCTAGAAACTTGGTGAAGTTATACTAAATTTTAAACAAACTTAAACATTCGATTTATTTATTTATTTATTTTAAGAAATGGAATGTGAGATATAAATGTTTATTCCAAAAAAAAAAATTAAAATTTTGTAGCATTAAAGTAGGGATTTTGAGAGAATGAAACGTACACAAACTAAATACGTAATGAGGCGTATATAGGTCATAGTTCAAGCATGGAGTATGTCAACAAAATCACTGTTTAACAGATCTGAACTGTAAAAATGAGTAATTGCTACCTTTCGAGTTATCAATCAAGAGTAAGTACTGTACTTAACATGAGAACATTTTATATAACAGTAAAATATTAGTTATCAAAAGCCAAAAATAGTCAACGTTTCTTTTCTTTTTTATTAATATCTGTTTATATTTCATCAGAATCTTTATTTTTCTTCGATATTTTCGATTTAAAATATGCTTCTCTTCTTCTATTTTTAATAATCCAAAGTTTTGTATAGGCTTAGTTTAAATTCAAATTAATAAAATATAATTAATATAAATATAAAAAAAAATATGGAAATTTATTATATAAAATTAGTGTTGCCCAATTGGTGATCGTCGCTCTTTCGTAGTGTTGTAACGATTTTTCAGGCACTAAAAATGTGCCGAATTGTCCAAACAATAGTGTGATTTGTTACGATATAGAATCTGAATATATGTGTCTACATCATGTTTAACTAGCGCAGATATATGATACCAAATATCGGTTTACTTTGATCTGTCAATCACTGTTTCTTTCGGTCGGTTAACAAACACTTCTTTCAATTACTTAATATATTTAAAAATAATATATAAAATAATTCATTAGCTTAATCATTACAGAATTTACATTTTACTTTTTAATTTCGTGTAATGCTTGTCAATCAAATGTAATAAAATCTATTGAAAATCAATCTGCTTTATGTTATCGGTTGACATATTTTTACTCTTTGAAGCTTAATAACTCCTGTTCCTTCCGTCGAAAATTTCTAAAATTGTGCAGGGTGGTTCATGTATTAGGAACAATGATGCTATTAAATTTTGGTGTTTAAAGATCGAAGGAGTGGGGAGATAGAGGGGGTCATGTGTCATATCTCGAACGGGATCAGATTTAATGAAGATTTTACTTGTTATAAAAGTCATCTGTACTCTCAAAATTAATCTTTTTTGCCATTTTATAATAAATAAAAATTTATTATTATTAAGGAAAATTGCGTGTGGCGCCATTCGTTATGAAATTTTAATTTTTTTTTTGCCTGGAAAGTTACGCAACTCATCGCTGCACCTTATTTTTTTGCTGCTATTTTACATTATATATTCAATGTATCAAGTTACAATTTTTAGAAGTAAAAAAAATCAATTTTTTCTTTTTTCTGTTTATTTTTATTGATAAAAGATACGAAATTAATATATTTAATCTCTATCCTCTCGCTCGCAATATGTGGAAAAGATAAGGAATTTTTATTAATATATAACCAGATAAGTGTGAAATTTTAATTCCATTAATTAATTTTGCTTGGGGTGTAAGAGATAAAAGCTTTATTGTTGTAATGAAGTTGGTTAGAATTGCAATAAATTCAATATTTACTTCCGGACAGAATGCGTCATTTCGTTTTCGTTTCGCACACAATTGATAGATAACCGAGAAAATCACTCTTCCAAAATCAGATTTTCTATAAAGTTGACAAAACATGTCTGACTGTTGATCGTTCAATATACAATCTAAAAATACTCGTCGATAAAAAAAAATAATAAAAAAGAAAAAAAAATAAAGGTCATTGTGGAGAAATTGTGGCGACGAACAGGAGACAACCGAAACGATTTTTTAAAAATATATTTTAAAATGTTCACTTGGTATTATTAGAAATGCAGATATTTAATTTCTATTTAAAAAATGTTTTTAAATTTAGTTCAGAAAATATAAAACAAAGTAATAAAACATTATATTTATAATTTTTATAAAGGGAGACGCCCCTATAAAACTTTTTAAAATTGACTTCTACATGATGTCATGGAAATAAAATCTCAGCTATAACTCTAAGGTATTATTATACCATAGAAGATAATGCAAGTACTGTACCATTATCACATGATATATTTACCTAGTGCAGTGGTCCCCAATTACTTTTTGCCTGCGTACCACTTCAAGAAAGAGTTCAAACTCGCGTACCCCCTTATAGCAGAAATTCATATTAATCCATACTAATATTATAAATTCGAAGGGGTAATTGTCTGTTAAATTTTCACGTCTAAACCGTATAAATAAACAAATTTGTGCATTCGACATCGTGTTGTAAATTGCCGAATTTTTGAAGGTCCACCCATTATTTTTTTTATTGCTTCATCTCATGCATTTAAATTTTAAATCGACCGATTTTAGATTGCAATTAGTGGTACGCGTACCCCCAGGAGTACGCGTATCACTAATTGGGAACCATTGATCTAGTGCAGTGTTTTTCAACTTTTTTGAATACGCTACCCTTTTACAAGTTAAAAAATTCTGGCGACCCCCAGGGCCATATTAAAACTATATCAATGATTTTAAAAACTACGTATTTAATTTTCTTTCTTTTAAATATCGATTGAAAAACCAATTGTACTGTAAAATAAACAGGCACTGTCTTCTCACTAAAATTCTAGTGTTTATTGTAGTGTAGGACATACAAACACTTGTCTTTTTCTTTCACCCGCGACCCCCCCGTGTAAGGCTTTGCGATCCCCCTGGGGGTCGCGACCCACAGGTTGAAAAACACTAATTTCTAGTGTATGCAGTATTTAATGCTTTCGTAAAGGCATGAAATATTGGCACATTACATTAGTTTTTTGTATACAAAAATTTAGTATTTCCATGATTTTACTATTCATATATCGTCTTCACGTCTTATAGCATAAAGTTCTAAATATAATAAGTATTTTAAAAAATATTTTTTTTATGAAACAATCACAAAATATTTAACCAAACATAAAATATATGGGTTAATTTTTTACGAGCACATAAATATTGCGCAGGGAATTAAATGAATTAAGCCAATCAATATCACACCATTTTCATAAAAACATATCTTAACTTGTTTTTTTTTTGTTAATATATTGTTGTTGTTACGAAACAATAATTTTTATTTAATTTATTTACAGTGGCTGTAGTAGTTGCATTCTTTATATGTTGGGCTCCGTTTCACGCTCAGAGATTAATGGCCATATACGTAAAAAATCCAACTCCAACCGATGAAATTGTGTACATGGTTCTAACCTATATCTCTGGAGTCACCTATTACGTAAGTGCGACAATAAATCCAATTCTCTACAGCATACTTTCAGTTAAATTTCGTCAAGCTTTCAAAGACACGTTAGCTCGATGTTGTGGTAGGCACGTACCAAGAAGAGACACTTCTTACAGCTTTAGATATCAAAGCACGGTTCGTACGACAGGATACGAACCATCAGAAATGTCGTCGACGTGCGATTCTCCAAGAATAAGAATGGAAAGAACGTTACAATGTCCTGCAGATTCAAATAATTCTGCTAAAATTAAATTCTCCATGACAACAAATAACGTTTCGACCTTAGAAAACAAGAAATATAGTGACTCTTCCGAGAAAACAAATCATTCTTGCAGCTGATTTTTGTCATCGGTGTGACTTTTTTTTTTATTCATTCTCTTGTACTTTAAAAAATCTTTATTTTGCATTCAAAATATAAAGCAGAAAATGAATAACATCTATCTTAGAGATTTTTCTCCTTCCCTGAGAACATTAAACATTAATCATTATGAAATTTGAAGATGTCTTGGAGCAGCTATTTATGTATATTTGTTTTGTGCCTGTGAAAATAAAATTTTTGTTGTTGTTGTAAGTCTTTATTTTGCTAATATTGTAAAGCATTTTTTCTTCTTAAAAATTTTGAAAATTATATATTACCTTAAATTTATTTATTATATGGTTTAAGAGTATATTATATGGTTTCTAAGAATGTTCAAAAATTCAACAAACAAGACAACTCCACATTATAAAAACACAAGCTATTTTTTATTTATTTTTTCACGGTTTAATATAATTGAAAACAATCATACATTTAAAATCATTGAATACAGTGGCAACAATAAAATCTTTTTAAAATATTTCTTACCTGAAACATTTGTACTGCTTTTATAACATTGTAATTCATTTTATTCATAAGAAAAGAAGACTTATGGTTTCCACATTACCAGAAAATGAAACATGGAAAAATGACGACCTCGCTTCCCTATCCAGTGTTTTAATCACTAATAAAACAATGGTTATGACGTTTTAAGTATTATATCTAAGGGAGTACAGACTATTTGAAAAAAGAGAGACTAAGAGAAAAATTAGAATTGTTTTTAGGTTATAAAGAAAAGAATACTTCCTATTGTTAGTCTATTTTATTATAAAGTTGTCAACTGTAATTGGAGAGAACATGCCACTACAATCGACTTAATTCTGCTAGTTCTGTTCTAGTATTGTGGAAGAACAAAACAGAAAATGGAAATGGAATCTAGTTATTTTTACTTTTCCCTTTTCTGTTAATGTGGAAACCAGCCTTTACTAAAAAGAAATAACATTTTGAATAACAGCTTTTATCGTTTCTATTTTACATATAATATATAAATATAAAAACAAAACTGCCACTTTTAAGAAATAAATTTTGGCGAGAAACAAAAGAAAAAGGTGAAGTAAACCGAATTTTAAACTCGTATAATTCTTTTTTCCACGTTAATGTATATAAGATTTTATAAACACACTCTTGCTTGAGATTCATCAACACAAACATGTATTTTAGGATTAACATTTGACTTGGAACTATGATTACTTTTAAGAAATTAATCTTTGCCAAATTTCTATACAATGAATTTCAATGAGCATTTATTGCACCACTTCACTATTAATGTATGTAATATAATAATATTTAGTTTCTCTGATCCAAGAATTTATTTCTTTCATGATTTTTACATAGGAAGTTCAAGAACTAATGTGAGCTTATATTAAATAGTATACTAGACATAGTTTAGTGAGACCATATGTATGCCTATATACTGCTTTAAAAAATTAAAACAGGAAAACAGCTACATAATGTTACAATAATAGCTGACAACTAGTTTTTATTAAATATTTTATCCATTTATAATCATGGATGATGGAAGCGAGATGACAAAAAGTCCCTGCCACAGGGAGTTTAAAACAAAGAAATGTAAAATGGCACTTAATAAAGGAAATCTTAATATAACATCAACATTATAACAGCTTAAAGAATGACATTACATATTATCATTTGTAATGTAAGTTGCCACAGAAATAAACACTGCTTTTTTTGTGTTCTATTTGTTAATTGTTAGCTGTTCTATGATTTATATACATAACATTATATTCTGAAGTGCGAATAATGGATGAGCTTATAAACAATCTAATGTATTTATACACATGCGCACATACATACATTTTACACTTGTCGTCGCTAGTTCTGGTGTCGTATATTTGTAATCCTTTTGGAGATACTTTACAGAAGCTTACAAAAATTTCACTTTCTAATTATTTGAAGCAAAAACAAACATTAAGAAAGTATGAATATTAAATATAAATCATTTTTCTTTAATGACTTTGCTTTCATGATATGCAATGGGCAAAATTGTATTTCAAACAAATGTACAATCATTTTTCTGTCAAATTCCTTTAAACATTTAACTGCTTAAAATGGAAGCTCCATCTAAAGATTCTGGTGTAATGAATTGTAAAAGGCACCGTTCAAATGATTGTTTACACGTTCACAATTGGTCCAATGTAATATATATGCTGCTTTGGAGATGGTACTTATGACAAACTGGATGGATCAATTTTACACTTGTATGAATATGAACTAGTTCTAAATTTGTTTGGCAATATAAGTGACTAGACCACATGGCCACACAATACTATTCATTTCTAATATTTTATCTCAATGAAAAAAAAAAAATCAAAAGTCATTCTTGTTTCATAGTTCACACTGAACATGAATTAATAAAATAATTTCTGCAAAAATCAACTATAATTGTCTTAAAATCTGTATCAGATTTTGCTTCAGATCAGAATTCAATTTACTCCTTCAACTAGTAAGGAAAACTGAAGACTTTCAGAATTGAAGTCTTTATATATTGAGATTAAAACAGGAATACTCTGTTTTCAAAGTCACACTGCTGTATCTGTTAATGAAGAATGAACATGGGAATCACTGGGAACAATCTTAACTGAATCTGGAGATATTTCTGGATTTATTTGAACATACCCATTTTTAGGTTCATATAGTTTAGGTTGTGCTAAATACTTTGCCAGTGATAAATTTGGTGTAATGTTTCCATTATCCTCTTCCACTGGAAATAGAGAATTATTTAAATTCTGTCCCTTATCTTCAAAATTGGGATTTTTATTATACATGTAATCATCAGCTGAATCGTTAAATCCACAATATGGTACATAATCTTGCCTAACATTATTAGGATAAATCTTAGGTTTTGTTCCAGTCAATATAGGATCCATGGTTTCTATATTTGAAGAATTATCAAGTCTGTCACACTGAATATCAAACTTTGAATATCCAGGTATACCCACTAAATGCTCTTTTGATTCATTACCATTTGATTTCTCTTTTCCACTTAACATATCTTTGGCATCTTGAATACTTACATAACCTTTAGATTGGCAGGTTGAAATTCCCACTTCTGGCTTTGTACCAAGACGAGAATAAGCAGTTCCATCAACTGGTTGAGTTGGTAAAGTTTTACCAGGATTGGTTAGTTTATCAACAGTTACATAACCATTATTTTTTGGGCAAGGAACCCATGATGATAATGGAAGAGATTTTATATTTTCTGTTGACTTATTAGCTTTCTGGTAAGATGAATTTGGTACACTTACTGGAGTAGGTAGATTAGTAGGAATATCATGTGTGTTTTGTAAACAAGGAATATTGGAAGCAACACCACATTTTGAATACCCATTATTTAGTGTACAAATGTCAACAGAGGCTGGCATATTTAATGCTTCACCAAAGCTTCTAGCCAGACCATATTTCGAATAAGGAGGTGCTACATCTGTTGTGATTTCTTGGTCTTTTTCTTTAATTTTTTCTGCATCCACAACTGATGGTTCACTATTAGCTAATGATCTGCTCATAAATACCAGACTATTTGCAAGAGGTATGTAACCAGAAACACCTGGCATATTAACACCAAATTTACTGTATGGAAGCTGTTGACTACCAGATGATCTATCTAAAATCTTTCTTTGATTATAAGGATGTTGAGGATTATCCAGATAGCACACAAACCTTGAATAATGATTTGAACTATTTTCTTTCTCATTTCCTCCTTCTTCTTTCTCCAATCCTGAATCTTTACTGTCGGAAGAATGAGCTTCATCTACTTTGGGTAGCATAGATTTGTTTTGTGGCTGAGGTGATGAATGAGGTAAACCCTGCCCATTATCACTTTCAGGTGAAGGAGGTGGCAGAACATCTGTTTCAGCTCCAGAATCAGATGATAACTGAGTTCGATTAGTTAACGAAGATGAAATGCTATCATGACCTTTCCCAGTATTGCTCTCTCCATTAGAATGGCCGCCACCATGCTCTGTTTGACCATTCTTTTTATACAATAACTGAAATACATAAATAATTTATTGTTAAATTTAACAAATACTAAAATGTTAACTATTACAAAAATGTAATTTACCTCTTCAGTTGAATTATTACTGAATTGAGAAGCATCTGAATCTGGAGGATCTTTTGGATCACCTTCATCTGAAGCATAAGAACTCAAAGGTCCATATAAAGTTTGTGGGCTTAAGTTAGATTCGCTAGCTTTTCTAATCAGGCCATTTTCAAAATTTTCATATGAAATAAGAGAATGCTATAATATAGGGGAAAAAATTTTCATAAATATATCACTATCAATAACAGTTTGACATTAAATTATTCAAATATTTAATTAATAATATACATAATAAACTTACACAAGGGGGTGAATCTAAACCAGGTGGAAGCTGCACTTTAATTTCTTTTATTCGATCAACTTTCTTTTTCATCCTATAAAATTTTAGGTAAGCATTTTATTAAATAAAATTGTAAGTAATAGTAAAGTTATTTGAATATTTTAAAATTATATAAATAAATGTTTTTTTATATGTAAAGATATATAACATATTTGCAAAAATTGTATAATTAATATTATATTACAATAATTATCATCATGTAGAATTACTTAATCCTTTTGTGAGAAAAAGAGAAAGAACTTAAGTGATAACACTTAGTTCAGGGAAAGATTCAAGTTAACTTGTTTTTTTCATAGCATTTAAATTTAACACTTTTTTCAAATAATAATCATAAAACGATAATGATTTTGTAAAATAATTATTATTTATTTTTTCATAAATGTGTTAAAAACACTAGACATTAAATTTTTCACTTCCTTATATAGTTTTGTCATTTTTATTGTCATTGATCATTCAAATGCATAGGAAGACAATTATTATTTGACTTTATAATAATTAAATAGTCAGAGATTTGGATATTTGGCTAATAACTTAAATTTATATCATCTTGAAATTAAATATATAAAATCACTCATTACAGAGTAATTAAAAAGTGAAATGAAATTCTTATTTGGAAGCAAAAAACTAACAATTTAAAACTTCAGTTACAAGAACAAAAACATGAAATTAAAACTGAAACCAAATGAATTAAAAATAATACATGTAACTTAAATTTAAAAGGAAACCAATATGGTGAAACTTTTCCAAATATTGAAATTTTATTTTATATATGTATATCTGCCTACTAATTTTAAATGCCAGTGGCAAAAATAAATCTAATTTAGGGGGAAGAAGAAAAAACTCTTTGAGCAGTGTTATCACAGAAAATTGATTTAATAATGGAGCAATTTTTAATATATTAAATAAACTTTTAAGTTCTCTAAATTCAAGTGAACTAATTGACAAATTTTCTAACAAACCAAGAAAATAAAATAAGCAATTATTTATTGTGATGTCAAATGTCGGACTTCAATTTTAATTTCTTTAATTACATGCTATCCACCTCTAATTTGAGGTGGCTTGCCCCTGTACATCATTCTTTTCCTTTAACAACAAAGTCATGTTGGTTATCTATCTAACTCCTTTAAGGGGGATTTTTGAATTGAAATAACACAAGTTTGTATTGGAAGTTCATATATCGTGAATTGGGGCCACCTACCCCTAAGATTTCCATATCTGGTCTTGTCTTTCATCTATCTCACTCAGTTCTTGAGATTAAGGAAACAGAGAAGGTGGACAGATGACAGTGGGAATTTATGGGTCTACAATTTTTTCAAATTATTATTGAATTATCACTTAAAATTTTATTTTTATACTTTTTCATATTTAACTATTATATTTAAATTTTTTCATTGAATTTATATTACAGTAAACCATTTATATTGAAATTTTGCTGAAACAAAATATTTTTATAATATTTAAGGACCAAAACATGTTTTAACAAGTATAAATGTAGTTAGCTCCCTGCTGGATTAAGGATAATCATCTAAAAATTTTCTAGGATTTGATTTGCAGGTATTCACCTACTTATGAACTTTATAGTCAAACTGTTTGCTGCATTTGAGTCTAAACAGAGGTCTCAAACTGAGACTTGCAAAGGGCCAGTCAAATAGATATACAGGGTGTCAATAAAGTATCTTCACAACTTAAATTTATTGCAAAGGCAATTGATAAGATATCATCTTAATCAGACATGTTCTATTGTACTTGAGGTAGAAAAACTTTGAAAACCACTATTTAATACACCTCTTATGGGCACCGTTAGTTGCATGAAGTTCAAGATGTTATTCGACTTCTTGCCATGGTCAGTTCTTTAAAAAATTTAAAACAGTGAACATTGTTTTCCAGCAGGATGGTGCCCCACTACATTAAGGAATCATGAACATGCAGTCCCCAATCAAACATTTCCAGATTGTTGGATTGGAAGGGATGGACCAATTCCATGGCCACCACGTTCACCACATATCACATAGCCCCATAGAAAGAAATCCAGAATGTTAACAATATCATGTATCAAACAAAGATACAGGATATTAGTGAATTAAAGCAAAAGATACCAGATGCAATAGCAACCATTGATGAGGCTATGCTACAGCAAACATGGCAAGAAGTCAAATACCATCTTTATGTGCTTTGTGCAACTAACAATGCCCATAAAGAAGTGTATTGAGATAGGAACAGTTTAAGTTCTCAAAGTTTTCTAAGTAGGGAGTGTACACAAATTTTTCATACCTCACATTTTTTACACTTGTATTTTCAAGAAATGTTTTTAGGGAAAACAAAATATTCAAATATTTTTCATGTAGAAAATGCAAGACTTCTCATACATACTAAACTGTTTAGCGTAGGAGATAAAAATTCTCGTTGGCTGATTCATCCTATGGTATATAGGTGCTTTGTTTATCCTCATTTCCTTCTGTAGACTTAATGTACAGTATCTTTGTACTTGCTGGTGGCTATGAGGATGGAGAATAAGTGCAGTTTATAATTGTGATGCTTTATAGTACTTTACTTGGTATGACACTAAGGAACCTACTAGAGTTAACTGCAACTTTGTGAGATGGCAAGAGAGATAAGTTTTACTGCACAGTATAAAGTAACCTACTTTGTGAAACAGAACAGAAATTGAGAGACAGAATGAAAATACGATGTCAGCAAAGCACTTGTTTGCTACTAGTGTAAACAAAAGAATCTCCAATCAATGCAAAGTCCAATTTGAGGGCATTTTGTGGTCCAAAGACTGGAAAGTATCCACAACTTCAGAAAGAGCTGTTACAATATGTTGAAAAAATGCATGATGATGGGCTGTACTGTAACACTTGATATGCTGCAACCATAAGCTTTCAATATTGCTCAGACAAAATATTTTTTCCCTCGAGTTTAAAGCTAATTGAGGATAGTTTGGCAGATTTATGAAGAAAAAAATCTCTCTAAGTAGCAGAATAACATTGTGCCAAAGAGTGCTTTGACATTTTACAGAACAGATTGTTCTTCCTGCTTCTGTATAATAAATCTATGAAAAGAGACAATTGTATTTGCTCTCCAAAATAGGGAATGCAAATCACACTCATGTTTATTGATATGCCAAGAAATACTACTGTGGAAAAAGAAATGTCTTGATCAGTCAATCATCAAAACAACTGGCTTAACAGTTGTTTTGATACTGTGCATATTTGCTTCTCACAAAGATGCACAATAATGTTAGCCATGACTGCCAATGGATGAAAATTACCATCGTGTGTGATTTTCAAAAGACCTGCCTAAAGGCTTTAAAGGGTCCATCCAGTATTCAAGTCCAAGTGCAAGAAAAGGGATGGTTGGATAAAAATTTAATGAAAGATTGGGTGCAGTGTGTGTGGCAAAGAATATCTGGTGCCCTACTTTGCCATAAGTTACTCTTTATACTGGATAGTTTCCGAGGTCATCTAAATGAAGAAGTGAAGAAAATACTACAAGATGAACAAATGGATATGGCTGTGATTTCTGGTGGCTTAACTTCAGAGTTGCATCCACTTAACATAACAATGAATAAACCTTTTGAGAGAATTTGAAGATTTTTTACTCAATGGATGGCTGGAGGCAACCAGAACATAGTGGTAAAATTCAATGGCTGAGTTTGAAAAGGATGTGCAAATGGATCATGAAGGCTTGAAAATTAATTTCACTGACAATAATTGAGGAGAGTTTAAGAAAACACAGATTTCCAATTCTATGGATGGTTTTGAGGATGATTTGATCTGGTAAGATGCTGAAAGTGCTGATGATAATGAATCCCTGCACAGACCAGCAGGAGCAACACATCAGACCAGACCAAGAAAACTAAGGTATGTTGGTAATTCATTTATATTTTGATTCAATATAATGAATAGCAGAACTAATTATCTCATTTCATGATTTCCATTAAAATGTTTAAAGTTAAAATTAAATTAACAATGACTGCATACTGTTGGATGTGAGAGTTCAAAATATTCAGAATATGTATCTGATACAAAAATCTTTGATATAAGAATTACCATAAAAAATAGATTACAATGGAATAATGTATTGTAATTACATATATCTGCAACATATAACAGTCAATAGATATACAGTCGACCCCTCCTATAACGCGAGTTCCTATAACGACAATTCCTATAACGTAGCGAAAAAATTGTAGCAACATTAGTATAAAGTACCTCCTATAACGTCATTTCACGACAAGATTGATAGAATCTGGACCAATAGTGAATGAGCAGCCGAACTACTTTCCTCCGCCCTGCGCCATGCTACGGAGTGGCTAAATTGAGTTTGCTATTGTCTGTACAGTATTATATATAAATTAGGTACTGTATATATAATTATATATTAACTTATTGTAACTTTATTATAATTAAATATATAATTTCCGCCATCTAGCGTGGCGCTACGCTACGGAAATTTTAGGCTAGTAAGTTGAGTTTATTATCGTCTGTACAGTATGTAAATTAGGTATCGTAAGTCTAATACAGCAGTAATTTTATACATTTCTTGTGAAAGAAACACTTCTTATTCAACAGCCATAAAAATGATTTATATTAATGATGTCTCCAAAGGACAAGTTATTTTTCTGCGAAAAATTCGTTATTAGAAATCGTGGCCGCCGTTTCATGTGCTGTTCCGCGATGAAAACCAGCTTTAAGCAACAGCGTAGTCGAACGGTACACACTCGGTAAGTAATCCTATAATTTTTTGTTTATAGCATAGTTTATACAGATTATTCCCAAAAAATTATACGTGTTTTGGAAATGTTGAGTGGAATTAGTCAATTTTATAGAAGAAAACCTTTCGAACAGCCTTAGTCCGTAAAGTTCCCACCTATCGGGCTGCGATTGGCTCATGTATTTAATCATTCCTACAACGTAAAATTCGATTAGCGTGGAACGTATCTAAGCGTTATAGGGGGGGGTCTACTGTAGTGGTCTCTCAGCTACCAATAGCTGTAATACTCTGAAAGTGGTGTAATAAATATTTCTGCCA